TATGCGAAAAAAGTTATCTTGCAGCTAGGCAGTGCGATAAGAATCGCTAATTGCAGGTACTAAGAACACACTAACAAAATTAAGGGAGGAACTAAAAAATTCGGGGGAGGGGGGTGGAATCTAACCTCACGCTGAACCACCAGGAGTAGCTGCGACTGAAGAGCATTCTGAGCTGATTAGTATGAAGTTAGGAAAAATTATCCCAATCCCAGAATGAAAATAGGAAGAAATTGATAATCAACTGTCTAGGCATTAACATACCAACGGTTTGGCAATTAAATTGAGGTGTAATTAATGACGAAATAATAGGTAATTTCAAAGTTGGGCTTAGAAGGAAGAGAAAATGATGAGGCAATCGTTGTAGATAAAGCAAAAAGGGAAAACTTAACTCCTGAAGCTGAAAGGGGATAAACTGACCAACGTTTGTGGCTCATAAATGCAGATTATAAATGATAGATAAATGGGTTCCAACCAAACCATTAACATTCATAAGAGTTCGGCAACCATTCAAAAGTTTTAGACAAAGCAACATCTCAAACGGTTATCTGCACCTGAAAAGGAAAATTATTGGTAGTTAAGGGATATTCTGGTAATTACACCAACGCACAAGCATTTATGGGTTGTACGAAATGCAAAAACGACTGCATACTAATTACACATTCCATCAATACCCAAATGGCTCATCAATGACAACTTTAAATGTATTAAAATGGGGTCATTTCAGTAAACATATCCAAATACATGCTTCCTTAACTTGTACAAAAAGCTTTTAAACTTATACACGACATACCACATTCCTAAAAAGCCCCCACCTATGCAGTTAAAATTCAACCTATTCTTTGATCAAAACTCAATCTTATATAGCATAAGGATATATATATATATATATATATATATATATATATATATATATATATATAATGGGTTTCCTATCTTTATTTTAGGGTTAATCAAGGTATGAGTTAGTCATACTTTAGCACTCCCAACTTCCAAAATATACTTTACCCCCTAACTAGGCAAATGTTAAAATGTTTAAAATCATAAAGAAAAGGGTTAAAAGCATTAAACCCTCCTGAACTTTACCCCTAGTTACACTTCCCCCCTCAACTCAATAAATAGGCACTTTACCCCTTGCTTTATGTTTTTGGGCAAAATTGCCCCTTTTAAATTAATTATTATTTTATTTCTTGTCTCTCCTTTGTTGCCCTTTTTTACTTGTCAATTTTATTTATTTTTTTAATTTTTATCCCTTCTCTCATGTGATCAACTATTTTATTCTCTTTGCTATATTATTTATATATTAACTTTAATCTTCTTAAACGTATTGTTTATTTATTTTTAGCTTATTTAGTTTTTGTTATTGAAAAAGGTGATGACCATAAAGTCTAATCTATAACAAAGTATGTATTATCTCTATGCATAAACTATTTCATACATTACTTAAATCAATGTGTCTAGAGTTTAGAATAAATTAGTTGTTAATGAAACAGTAGCAGTTAATCAACTATACATAAAAAAGTAAATAAAATTATTAATTACTTTATTTTTTGGGATATAATTTTAAATATTAAGTAACTTAAAGTTCTAGTTTGCTAATATCTTCCTAAACATTCAATTTACAAGTAATATGCAAATTTTCATTATAACTAGCATATATCAATTTTTTATACTATATAGTTTGTCTTAAATTTTCTAATAATGTAAATAAATAAAACAAGAATGAAATTATAAATAAAATATTTTTACAATAAACATATAAATTAGTAATACTAATAAGAAAGTGAAACAAAATAGTGACATGTGAGAAGTGAAAAAAGAAATTAGTAAAAAAGGAAAAATGAAAAAAATAAAAGAAAGTAGTGGAAAAATAAAAACAAGGAAATGAATAAACAAAAAAGAAATAACATAAAATAGTAAGGGTAGTTTTATCTTAAAATATCAAATAGGTGGGGACACGGTGCTTATTTAATGAATTTAGGAGGACAAAGCACAACTAAAAGTAAAGTTCAACGGGATTTGGTGACCAATTGGCTGGATAGGGTTTCTCTGTGGGTCCCCCTTAGATTGCTCTGTTGGGCCGGTTTCTCGATGCTTCCTGCGTTTGCTGAGTGTAAGTGTGTGTGTGTGGGTTTCTACCAATGAGGTAAAAAAACGGGATTTGGTGCATTTAACCCTAAAAAAAATTGTATTCGAATGACTTAAATAGCCATGGTTTGTTAGTGAAGGTACAATTGTAGCCTTATGTTGAAGGGAAAATAAGGCATATGACTAGGGAAGAGAAAAAAAGAAAGAAAACTTATTGCTGAGTGAAAAATGTATAGTCAATAATCAATAATCAGTAGGGCAAAGAAAATCTCAAAAAGCCCCGAAACCCTTTCAGAGAAATCAAAAAAAAAAATTGCCAAATACCCACTGAATCTTCACTTCATTAAACGGTTGAATCGGTCGACGAAGAGGACAAATTAAGTGATTTAAGAAGCACTGAAGTGATTCTGTGAAGTAGCAATAACATCAAAATAGGGTTTTCACTTTGTACTTTGATGAAATTGAGCAATTCGAGGAAGAGTTACTGTGATTCATTTGTTGAAGTTAGATTGCATAAAGTTTAGGATTTGGCTCATTTGATGAAGTTAGAGTGCAAAAAATTTGGCTTGACTTCTGTTTTTTATTGCACCTTTTGGTGAACATGTACTAGCCGGAAAGGTATTAGTCCAATGATCAAAAATTTGAGCGCTGGGTAGTAAGAGGCTGAGGGTAATTTTGGAAGTGAAATGTTGAAGTGGAAATAGTTCAAAAGCACTAACGATGTAAATTTGAGATGGTGAAATGTATATTTTAAAAGATGGAAGAGGTGAGGTGATACTACTCCATATCTTCAGTTGAGCAAAGTGTGCTTAACCCTTTGATCAAACTATATTATTTTATAAGCTAATCTTTTATAGTTGTTGACAGAGTAATTGTACGCAAAGCAGGGGGAATACCTCAATCAGGCAATCACATACAGAAGTGCAATATAAAAATACAGTAGATAATTATCAAAATAAGGAGTTGGCACTGTTGTCAGGAACAACTGTGTGAGGTGATATATGGCCCAAATTTGCCAATAATGCCAAAATCAAATTGTAAGAACCAACTATCACTATGTAATTCTGACACAACAAATATATGTGGACCCATAGAAAAAGAAACTCCTAGCTCTAGCCATACACAAGTATTGCTGTGATCTTTGTATACACCTGGATCTCTACACTGTAGTGTAGGTACAAGGTCTTCTAACATCCTGTACAATATTCTTACCATAGATAAACTCAGAGGGATATAAAAAATTCTAAACACCTTCAAGTTCTCATGCCTACATACTTGGTAGACTGTAGCAGCAATTTAATTCTACGTACAATCTTCAGAACAGCTTTTCCAATATAGGTACTGTTGATCAGTCCAATTAAGCCCTTCATTTCAATCCCCAGCCATAGTTTCAAAAAACAGCAGCTTCTGTACTGGTTCTCAGGTTCCAGAGGTAAAGGGACAAATAAAGAATAGGTGCTCAATTGTTTGGTTATCCATAGGACGCAGCACACTCTTAGATTCCTTCTAGATGTTAGGTGGCAAATAATTATCTTCCGGCGCTCTCATCAATCATTGTACACATTTTTTGTGTTTTAACCTCGAGCACTCAAATTTCAAAACCATATAAAAGGTTTTGTATGAATAATTTCAAGCCAAGAAATCATTGAGATTGTAATACAAGTGTGCATGAATATTAGAACAGCTGTGGGGAACTTACAACTTTGGAAAGGACAAAACTTTATATTTAAACCCATAGCCAATTAAATAGATAAAAAAGCAATGCTAAGGCTAGTATTCCTTAACGTCCATCTACCCCTCAAACTATATGCAGAGACTGGTTTTGTCATAACAATACTGGGTTATAGGATTTTTGTCTTACACTATAAGAGTAATGCATTTTTATTAAATCTTTTTTTTTCTTTGAGATGAATTTAGTGTAAACCCATACGTGCTTCGTATTTAGCATAGAACATTACCACTTTTGAGTTGAACCAATCCGCTATTCTATATAAGCTCTATACAAACTGAAGTTATATCTCACGTTCTGGTTTCTTTCATATCTCAAAACTTATTGCTTTTACCTTTTAGTCTATTTGGTTGCAATTCTTGGCTTTTTCCTTTTTTTTGTGGGTAAATTACTATTTACCACCTTGTGGTATTGTATTTTACCACACAACACCCTCATATATGGTACAATTTATCTACATGTTCATCACTATGATTTTATCTAAAGTGAAAAATTAATGCTAAGCACCTCCAGTTATCGTGATTGACCCAAAATCATTTCAAAAATTTGTGTTACGCATAAAATGTGCAATATGTTAAAATATGAAATATTCACTTAACTACTATGTTGTTTTGTATTCAACTATGTATGGTTCAATAATGTCCACTTAATCTTCCCTTAATTTTTTAAAAAGTGATTATTGTCTTTAATATCTAAATAAGGACATAATTGAAATTTAGCTAATATAGTTAGCAGAGACATTTTTCATCAATTTTTTACTTTATATTAAATCACCCCTGGGTGGGTGGGGAGGGTAAATGGATGTTATAAAACAATAGAGGATTATGCATTAGAACACGAAATCCCAATGGGTAACTTGTAATTTACCCTTCTCTTTTTCTCGTTATCTTTTTTTTTTGTGAAAAAAAATTAATTGAGCAATTTTCCTAGAAAACGTAGTTATATAGATAATCCTAGTCGTATAGCAAAAACATCCAAGTAATATCCATAATTGGATGTAAAAATGGAAGTAGAGATCATTTCCCAAGAGATAATAAAACCATCTATCCCAACACCTGATCACCTAACAATCTTCAAAAGATCCTTTCTCGATCAAATTAGTGGTAGATTTCTTGTGAGATTTATCTCCTTCTATCCAGGAAAAGAAACAAATTTGAAGATCAATCAAGTCACACATCAACTGAAAATGTCTCTTTCCCAAACTTTAACTCTCTATTATCCACTTGCAGGCGTCTACAAGGATGATTCATCCATTGAATGCAATGATAAAGGAGCTCTATTTGTCACAGCCCATGTTCATTGCAACATCAACGAGCTACTAAATCTACCAAAATTTCAGCAGTTTCACAAGCTTGGCACCTCTTCAAAGTTCCATGAAGATGGTCCTTTCCAAGTTTTTGTTCAATTCAACACATTTTCATGTGGTGGGGTTGCGATTTTCACGTGTTTCTCTCACATGGTCATTGATATGACAACTATCAGTGTTTTCCTGAAATGTTGGGCTGCAATTTCTAGAGGTTCTCAAGATGATCAATCACCAGGTCATCCTTATCCTCGGTATGAATCACTAGTGCTTTTCCCTCCTAAAGACTCTGTTCCGCTTGGTTTCTCGGTGGTGGTCAAGGGATCCTTACTCAAAGATGGAAGAAGTATACGAAAAAGATTCGTGTTCAGTGCTCCAGCAATATCTGATCTCAAAGTGAAAGGTTCCAGCAAACGCGTACCGGATCCTACAAGTGTTGAAGTTGTGTCATCTTTCATCTGGAAGCATGCAATGGCTGCAGCAAAGGTAGTAAAGGGTTTCCAACAGCCATCAGTAATATTTCATGCAGCAGATTTGCGAAGAAGAATGGTGCCACCTCTACCAGAATATTCTGCTGGGAATATTGGTTCTCCAATCGTTGCAGAATATGATAAGATTGATGATTTGGAGGTAAAATTCGGAAGATTAGTGAAAATACTAAGATTGGCTAAGGAAAAAAATAAGGATGAATTTGTGCCAAAATTACTTAGTTCTGCAGGGTTTGATATGTTGATTAAGTTTTTGGAAGACTGGGGAGAAAAGTGCAGTAACAAAGATTTAAATACTTACCAATTCAGCAGCTGGTGCAAAATAGGATTAAATGAAGTCGATTTTGGCTGGGGAAAACCAATTTGGACTAGTTTGGTAGGTGGTACTGAGGTAGAATCCATGTATAAGAATTTTGTGGTTCTTGTTGATGGATCAGATGGTGGGATTGAAGCATGGTTGATATTGGAGCAAAAGGAGATGGCTGTACTGGAAAATGAAGGGGAGTTCCTTGCTTATGCTTCTCCAAATCCTGGGATCATAATATCTTTAAAAAAATTTAAATCGACATAGGATTTGGGACTTAGAATTATATTTTGTTATTCTTGTTCTATGCATGAGACAATAAAAGAACATTCTTCTGTACAATTGATGAACAAGGCTGCGATGACAACCTGAATGGTAAGTTTGTATTAAGCAAATTGGAAGTTTAATTATGAAATAATAACTCCTGTTTTTTCATCCTAACTACCAAATCAGCATGTGCCAGCAACATTTAAGCACCGACAAACAAAAATCTCTATTTTGTTACTCGGAATATCAAAATATACTCTCACAAAGAGGGTAAATGCAAAAAGCTTGCTCATAACCTTTCGTAAGAGATTGTTGGGGGAAAAAAAAAAGAAAGTGGAATGATTTTATACTACTAGTGTAATTATTGCATTCTTTTGCAAAGACTAAAATAGTTGTATTATAATTTTTGTTGTATTCTTACAGTAATTGATATTTATCTCCTTGTTAATGTCACTATGTAGTACAAATTCTCCTTTGAGACCGAGTGTAGAGGCCAATTAGCATTTGAGATCGGTTGCGACTTGTATTGATGCGCCTAGATAACTCGAACCCATTTTGCCCAAAAAAAAAAGATTAATCTTTGCTACACTGTTAGTGTATACACTGACGGGGGCATACCATCTAAATTTGAATTTAAATATCAAATTTTATATATGTGACATGCCTATAGATCCGCTAGTGTATATACTGTCAGTGTATAAAAAATTTATCCAAAAAAAAACCAAAATTTTCAATCACAGAGTTCTTTTTGTTTTTTTAAGACAATCAAAGAGTTAAATCAAGTTGCATTGGCGGTAGCTCAGACCCTAATTAAAAATAGTGTAATGGTGTAATCAATTCTACCATACACTAATTATGACTCTTTGGATGAAGACATTTCAGAGGAATTTTTTTTTTTTTTGGTTACCAAACTTCTTGTAACAATTAAAAATACTGTAATGATGTAATACGATAGTGAAAGCTGGTTTATCCTCTAGGCATCGTTGTTTCAGAAAGCTGTGCTGGATGATGTAAGGTTCTTACTGCTTCATGGGCAGGATTTAACTGGAGCCGGTGGGTTCTGGAGGATATGTTTTGTTATTGGTAAATCCTCTGTCTTGTTTTCGTTTTATAGAATTGAATATATAATAATATAGACCATAACGCAGGCCGAGTGTCATATCTCATATAAAAAGGATTCTAGTAGCATTACAGACGTTGTAATTTTGAAAATTATAAATATATAAAAAATTTCTTTGACCGTTAATTGAAAGAGTAAAATATAGAAAAGTCTCTTGAGGTTAAACGAATATAAAGAAAAAACCTCCATAGTTTCAAAACATACACCCGGGTACTTCATGATCTGAACTAATTTTAAAAAGCAATAGAAATCGTTTGAATTGACGAGTTGAAAATACACGCGTTTCTTTTGCAAGTATTTGTACTAGAAACAAACAAATTTCCAGTTGATATATGTATTATATCCTTAGAGTTATAATAGAAAAGAGTCCCATGTGATTAAGGAAACTTATAGAAAAAGTCCCTTATGATTTTAAATCATATAATCTAGTATCTCGTTGTTTGAACTAATGTGAAAAATCAACAAAAATAATTTAAATTAACAAGTTTGAGGTTGCTTAATATGGTAAATAATTTTTTGATTCAAATTTTTAGCTGATATACCTATTAAACCCCTTAAAACTCATAAAATTTTCAAAAACAACCCAAAACTCTCAAATACAACTTACCTTATTCTTATGCACAAAATAAATAAATAAATAAAAGTAACATGTAACCATAGGGGGCTTTTTCATAGGTTAGCTTAACCGTAGGGAGTTTTTCTGTAAGTTTGCTTAATAGGATGGTTGTTAAAAGATCTTTTATTATTTATATATATTAGGGTAATTATGTCATCATTTCATCCGCATCCATTAGTTTTGACGATTTCCGTTGTTGTTTCAAATTAGTTCAAACTATGAAGGATCGAAATATATGATTTGAAATCATAAGGGACTTTTCCATAGATTAGCTTAACCACAGAGGGGTTTTTAGTATTTTATCCTTAATTGAAATGTTAAATACTTGTAAAAGTGTCTCAAATGTAAAAAGCACTGAGATATCTAAAATATACAGATAAAGAGATAAGATAGCGATAGATTTGAGAATTCTAGTGGTAAAGAGTGAAAAATTCTGGAGTATTGATTGGCACATAGTACATGTTATCAATAATTTGGTTTAAATATTTTGAACCCGTTACTTTTTACTAAAAAAGTTACTTGGTCCCGGTTATTACAACTTAATTTTTTCTTGAAATTTCCCTTTTTAAGGTAGAATAAAATTGCATAGGTTCTACCTTTCGTTGTGTAATATCTTTCTTTCCTCGTCAATCAACATTTACTAGTTGCTTAAAATAAATAAAATTCATGTGAAATGATAAAATCTTCAAACTTTTTTGGTACACGTTGTTAAAAGGAAAAGAGCTTCCATTCGTTAAAAATTCCAGAAAAAACAATATAAGAAGGAAAGGGAGGCCTCTGTCTTGGATAATCCAACATAACTAAATCATTTCTAAAACAAGATATTAGCAAGTCTTTATTTCTTAAACTTGAATAATAACTGCATTGGATGCATAAAATTTGATATACTCTATGCTGCTGCTTTTAAATGCCTGTTTTAAATTACAAGTTTTCGGATATTTATGGAAAACTTTCTTTAGAGAACATAAACCAAAGGACTTATGAAATAAAATATGAATCACCTCCCCTCAATGTAACTCCTGGTTAATTGACTTCAACGACCCCCAGAATTTAGTTTAATGGTTAGGTAGTTTGGCCCATCACCTAGACAAAAGAATGTAGAAATCAAATCTGGTGGATTAGACGGACTAACAGCATTGATCACTTTAGTGAATCGTCTTATGTCTCTTAAGGGGACCAAGAGCTGAGTTGATTAGATTAAGACAATGAACTCACAATACCCAATGTCTACTTATAAAAAACTAAGTAGGCAGGCTTGCACGGTCCATTTATAAAACCATCATTGCTTAATGGACGACATAACAAACATTCATATACAGCAACCAAATAAACCTAAGCGACACTTCTTCCAACAACTCAGTATACTAATAAAGCAGCAATAGATTCCAAAACAAATTAATGGTTTAGTGCACATGAGATGGAGAACTGTGACCTATCTACAGTTCTAAATATCCCTTAAATACGTAAATAGAGAGAGAGAGAGAGAGAAGAGAGGAGGGGGAGAGGCGGCTGTGGAGGAGGGAGGCGGGGAGGGGTAGTGGGTAGTGGGTAGTGATGGGTGGAAGAAGATAGAAGTGATAGGTTTTTATTTATTTATTTTTTGATTAGTTGTATTTGATATTTGTATGGATTAGGTGATTTTGAGAGTGTAATATTATAACATTTTATTGGAAAATTTTTTTTTTTTGAAAAAAAAAGAAGCTCAATCCATCCAGAGCCCGTGTTGGTTAATAAATAGACAACAAGTGTACTTGCTAGAATCTTTCTTGTACCTACATACTAGTATCTAACCCTTTAGAATTGTCTTCCTATGCTAATTCTACAGGGCTAATTACACTTTACCCCCTTATGGTATAGCTAATTTGCACATAATCGTCCTATAATTTTAAAAGTTATATATAACCCCCTTATAGTTTAACTTAAAGTGTCAAAGTGACGGAAATGATCATCCATAAAGGAACTTATGAAAATGTTGAAATTACCTTTGTTTAAAAATTAAACTAGTTGAAGTGACCAAAATATATAAACATAATATGCATGACACTTGAATTCCATATGATTTTATATATTACCATATAACCTTCTTATGATTTAATGCTTTACTATAGAACCTTCTTATGGTTATCAACATATATACATAACCCCTGTAGTTAATAAATAATTTTTAATTTTATATAGGGGTATTTTTGACATTTTAATTAATTCCGTTATGGATTATAAATTCTATCATTTTAACACTTTAATCCAAACCATAAGGGGGTTATATATAGTTTTTGAAATCATACGGAGATTATGTATAAAAAAACACTAAACCACAAAGGAGTAAAGTGTAATTTGTCCAAATTTTATATGATTTATGAACTAGACACTTAGTCATATCCTTGTATCGGATTCTCATAGTCGAGTCTGAGTAACATAGACTACTGTAGAGCTCTTTACTTCATTGCTTTTAACACTTTAGGCCTCCATTATACATCACAAAATAGAAACATGTAAAAGAGAACGTCATGCCAAAGTTATGAACTTTTATTCTGTCTTCAATCAACTATATGTCGGTGAATCTTAGAGTTTCCTCAATAAATTGATTCTCCTCCAAACTCCTCCCCCGACAAACCCAAGGCCTTGGCCTCCAAAATAAAAAAGGGCAAATTATATTTTAGCCCCTGTGATTTAGCATTTTGTTTTGTACATAACTTTCCTAGGATTTCAAAATCTATACATAACCCTTTCATGATTTAAATTAAAGTGTCAAATTAATGAAATTTGCAATCTATAATGGAGTCATCTAAAATGTCAAAAATCCGCTTATGTAAAGTTAAAAATAATTTATTAACCACAGGGAGGTTATGTGTATATTTTGAAAATCACAAGGGGGTTATATGATAAAATATTAAACTACAAAGGGGTTATATGATAAAATATAAAACCATACGGGTTTAGTGTGTCATGTATATTATGTTTATATATTTTAGTTACTTTAACCATTTTAGTTTTTAAACAAGGGTAATTTTAACATTTTCAAAGGTTTTGTTACGAATGATCATTTACGTCACTTTGAAACTTTAATTTAAACCATGAGAGAGTTATGCATGATTTTTTAAATAGTAGGAAAATTATGTACAAAAATACTAAATCATAGGGCGGTAAAGTGTAATTTGTCCAATAAATAAATAAATACAAAAAAAAGCGCTTGTGAGAGTCCGAAACACTTAGGCGGTTTGTTGTACTAAGATTGACCTCCATAAAATTTTATTCGTTTGTTCC